GAGTTATTCTCGCCCTACGTGCATAATCCAAAAGTTTGTCCAAGCGCCACAACTCCTGAATTGACCGATAACACCCCGATCTGATAGAACCCTTAAAGTCATATTGACAGCGCAGCGATTTCGTTCTAAAAGGCGCCACCAGGTGGCGCGACGCGCTTCGCGCGGATATCCGCTGCAGACTGTCCAGAGTACACATGTGTGGACCCCTATCTAGGCACTTTCAACTGTAAAGATGTGCTATTTTAAAACGTACATGTATGTACATACTGTCTGCAGCAAGCAGCAGTTTATCTGCCTACAACAGTCAATTTGCTACCTGCTCACAATGTTAGCAGCAACTACTTGCTGCCAAGAAATTCCTAATAAACCAGTGAAAGCACCAAAGTTACAAGCAATTTCTGTTAATATGATGGCCAGTTAGTTGTACAGGGTGTCTTATTTCTTCAAATCGTGTTGACCCTACGTGACCGTCAATACTTAATTTGACGAATAACTTTGACACGAGTCACTATATTTAGAATGAACGAATCAGGAAAACCAGGGCTAAGAGCCCAATCCAGCTTCCATACGGACAGAGGAAATAGGACAGTACCGTTGGGGTGGGAGGGAGTCAACCTGCTATGGTTTTGCTTTAGTTTCTGCCTGGGTGAGTTAAGCTGGGTTTACACTATGGAAAAATCGACGAGATGATTGGGTTTTCCACGTTCTATCAACTTCTCTATCAGTTGTTCAAAGCTTTTACGTTATCGACCGCGAGTTGAAAAACGCTTCAATATTTGACCCAAAGTGTGCGCGCAGGGCGCCGTGGATACACATTTTTGCATGTATTAATTCGCGCCAGTGTGGCACTGATAGCAACAACCTGCTCTCCCCCCAGGTGGTGTGACACACCCCCTGATTTCTGTTCTCCGAGTGGCCGCACGGCGAAAATAGGACACGTTCTAATCTCGCAACCAGTTGATATTAACCAGTTGCGCACAACTTTTACGTTTACACTGCTAATTTTCGGTCAAATAACTGAAAAACATCAAATTCATCAATTTCACAGCAACAAGTTGATAGTGTAAACCCAGTGTTAGTTTGCTGTCTGTTTTTTCCCCCTCTGGTAACAAGTACTTGCTGCCTTGCAAAAAAACTCAATTTCTAACCCTGGTTACTAGTGTAGAGAGAATGTATATAATATATATCGATCCACTCATGCATGGTGTGAACAGATATCTCTATGGTCAACCCATGTATCTTATATTAGTCTATTAATTAATATGACACCTGCGTACTGGACCTGGGTCAAACCCAGGATTTGTAAGAGAGAACATATCTGATTACTGTGGATGGAAAACTATAAGTGCATTTATTCATATAGAAACACAATCAGTGCATTATTGGTGAAATTTCTGTAAAACAAGGATATGAATTTCTACAGCAGTAATTTATCAGTAAAGCACCAGTGTATTGAAAACATTTTTTATTTAACTGTAACCATAATTGACAAGCATCTATAACACATCAAAGACTATTATTTGCAACATTGCTGATTCAACCTCCTGAGTAACATTTGTTAATACAAAATTAATCAATAATCTAATTATCATATCATCACTACTCATATAGCAACACTCACCAGTGTAAATATACATTGTTATGTACTATATGAACATGATGCATCTTTCACAGCATGATCATCTTTTGCAAGGCTATATAAGTATAAGATTTACTTGAAGTTTAACTTAGTCTTAAATATGTTTTATCATAGCTATGTTATTGATTAGTTATATTAGTTACACAGACAAGAAAGTATATATTTTATTAAATTGGAGCTATACATCAATACTAGCCACCTGACAAAAATCCAAGGTCTTATATTATATATTAGTCCGAGATTCCTCTGACCAATTAATGCCCACACCGACGATTTTGGTGGATTTATCATTTGGTGTGGGTTCAGAGGAATCTCGGACTAATTATATATAAGCAACAACTATTCTAGTTACAAATACAAGCTATACTAGTAGTAGTAACACTAAATATGGTTTCAATTACGGTTAGGTGAGAATAGCCATGCATATAGGGTTAGATCGCAGTAAAATTTCAACTTACAATCAGTGTAGTTTATACAGTAATTTGTATTAATTAACCCTCATAGTCATAGTATAACCCAACCAGGCTGTGTGACTAACGTCAATAGACACAGGTCGCTATTCTAACCCTAGCAATATCGTTTCTTGGAGCTAAGTCATACCGTAGTCATACTCATGAGTCATAGCAGGGAGTCTATAATAGGCTCTATAGCCTATTATAGACTCCCTGGTCATAGTCATAACAAGTGTGTACAGTGTAGTAAACCACAGGCACTTGGACCGTTTCAATAATAAAATGATGGTTAATAAATACAACTTGTCAGTAGCCTACTACTACAGTACCAGCAATAGTCTTAATGTTTGATTTGACCTAATAACTTCACTTCAACACCGTTCAATACACCGCTGCAACACATAGCCCGCACGCCATTGTGCATGCACAAATACACAGTAGATAGGAGTGTGTATTTACTGTGTAGTTTCTCCTATCTAGTACTACTGTGTAACTACTGTGTACTACTGTGTGTCCTAACTAAACTACTGTGTAGTTTCTCCTATCTACTGTGTATTTGTGCATGCACAATGGCGTGCGGGCTATGTGTTGCAGCGGTGTATTGAACGGTGTTGAAGTGAAGTTATTAGGTCAAATCAAACATTAAGACTATTGCTGGTACTGTAGTAGTAGGCTACTGACAAGTTGTATTTATTAACCATCATTTTATTATTGAAACGGTCCAAGTGCCTGTGTAGTAAACATTCCATTATTAGAGGGTCTAATTATAGAAATATAGTAATGAATGGTTAACAGCGTATAGACAGACACACTGACCATCTAGAACGATTCCCATAAAGAATATGATAATATGAACGTTAAATTAATGTTAATTGTTAATGTGTTATTATTACTACAAACACTGTCACTAGCAAGAATTTAAAGGGTTTCAAATTTTTGGAAATTGCTCAAAACACTGGTGCAACCAGTCAATTCTAAAGAAATTGCTTGATACGTGGTATTACTATTAACTAAAACACTGCGCGTTTACCTCAGTCACAGCAACGTCTGTACAGTTTAGAAACACTGACAATCACACCATCAAACGAACTTCGCAAATGGAAGACGTGGGAAGAGAGGAGTGACGCTACAAGTCTTGAGTAACAGTAGTGTGGATCCTTGCACTTGGCCCCTTGCCACTCTTTTAGCAAAAGGGGGCGCTGGCGTTTAAAACCCTCGATTGCACCGTGCTGCCATCTAGTGTCTAAAACAAATGGATCTGAAGCTAATATACTTTACCTGCAAACTTCAACTACAACGATGTTTCAACAAACTAACTTTTCCTATCGCTGGACCCATTTCACAAAGCATTGTAAGAATATCATCAAACACAACACAGTTCCAACATCACATGGCCCAAGGATAGAGAACATGGGTCCCAATAAAACCAATGTATAAAACCATAACCTAATGAGTAATGTGCCTAACCCTAATCCTAACCATAACCCTAACCTATTATATTGATATAATATTATATTTATATTGATGTAAATGACATTGGTTTTATTGGGACCCATGTTCTCTATCCTTGAACCCCTAGTAGAGCTCATAGGGTCTATGAGACTATGTCCCCCACGGTACTGCCGGAACGTCCGGTATACCGGAACGGGTGCAAATCCACTTTAGGCACCTTAGGTATCACGAAGTGATGCACAGATTTCTGTGTATCAAACTATCATCAACTGATGCACAGAATTTCCGTATATCAAGGAATGATGCAAAAACCCTAACCCTAACCCTAAGCCCAACCCTAACCCTAACACACTTCGTGATACCTAAGGAGTAAGGTTATACTTTATGACTTAGGGTTAGGGTTCGGGTTAGGGTTTTTGCATCATTCCTTGATATACGGAAAGTCTGTGTATCAGTTGATGATACACAGAAATCTGTGCATCACTTCGTGATACATAAGGTGCCTAAAGTGGATTTGCGCCACCGGAACGTACCCTGGTACACATGTGTTGTATATATCTATGGCGTAGGCGACTCGATCCCTAGACTCGTTAGTGGAGTAGGCGAGGTACGGTCCGGCATATTAGATAGTAACAGGGTACGTTCCGGCAGTACCCTGGGGGACATAGAGCCTCTCAGCCCTAGTATAATGTTATTTTACCTGAGCATAGCTTAATAGTAATACAAGTACTAGTACACAACTGAGCCTTCTCTTTTTATCTTTGAACTTATGCACCTATATACATTGATTCACAAATTTCTAGGACAAAATTTATTGGTCTACTACATATACTACTAAAAATCTGATCGACATTGGCAATAAAACAATATACCTGATTAAACAGTTGGTGGACGGTATATTAGTATTAATTGCAAAAGTTCCAGATCACCTAAATGTGATAAGATAGCTATGAGCACACAGCGCACTACATTATCGTAACAACAAACCACTTAGCTGACACTCATATAGCTGCTAGATAAACACAATTACTACTATCATACAATTGTGCATTTACAACGTGAAAGACTATACTGACTAGTGAACAAAACCAACAGCTTATACTATTTAATCACATAAATACCCGAGCACAAACACTAAAATATGTGACTAAAACTATAAAATATAAAGAAAATGCATGTTCACAAATGATAAATTAGAGTATCAGGTAAAGCCTGGCGCACATTGCCGAACATTTTCCCGAACAAATGTTCGTCCGAACAAATGTTTTTGTCTGGCAATGTGCGGGTAAACAATTGCTGAGCGCACATTGCCGAACATTTTGCAGCGAACAACCTCGTGGCGCCGTCTAGTAGCTGTGTTGCAAAAAGTCACGTGATCAGTCGGTGATTGTACACAAAAATCATGTGACCACATATTGTGCTGCTATTGGTTACTACTTTACAAATGTTCCTAGAATTGTTCGACGTTCAGCGCAGATTGACGAATCATTCGACGAACAATGTTCGAGATATCAAACATTTCCGATCTTCAGAAACATTGTTCGGAACAAATGGTCGGCGACTTTTTTCACCGCACATTGCCGAACATTTCATGGAACATTGCTACGATACTGTTTTTGAGCAAAATGTTCGGCAATGTGCGCCGGGCTTAAGCATTCTCTATATGCAGCTATTACGTGGTCAAGATCCGCAAGAGTTGCCTCATGCTACTTGCAGCCATTCATGTTACTGAGGCATGTTCACAAGCCTATGATCAATTTTCCTAATAAAACTATTAAATGTTCAACAATTCCTATGTCTAAACACAATTAGCAGCATGATCTTTATCACAATACGTGTCGGCGCATGTGAATTCTTTTACAAAAGCACTGGAAGGTGGTGAATGTCTGAATAGCATGACTATGTGAACGTGAATCCAGCTTCACGGTAACTTTTGTAGATTTTCTCAATGGAATTTATGTAGGCTGCAGTACGAATGTCCAGACCCAAGTTGTACTTCATCGCTATAGCCATAATTGCCTACAAAGAATAATATACTGTAATGCATAAATCCTTGCTTTGCAAATTATAATAAAATTCAGGCAAATAAATGTTCAAGTTTAAGAACTAATGAAATGCAAAGCATTATAGACATATTCAAATTATATGGCTTAGTTTAGCATTTTTAATCTTTTTTATGACATCATTTTTATGCAATAGCCAAATTGTAGAAATAACTATTAGCATATACATAAATATTTCACAATTGATAATAAAATGAGATATATAGTAATACGTAATAGTTTAGTGTATTACTAGGAACATATTCATACAAGATATAGTGCAGATATGAACGTGGTAGTATGAATTTCAATGTTCAAACAATCAAATACTTACACGTGCTGATCTCTCCATGGTATACGCCAGCCCGGAATGTACAATATCCTTCTCAGATGCTCCCTATATATACCATATGAAAAACCATACTGATTACTCCTGACTGATATGATGGTGACAGATTCAAAATTCAGACACAGACATGTATAATATTAAAGATTTTGAACATCACTTCAATAAGGAAGGATTAAAGAAATGTTATTGTATATAATATTATATATTATATTATATTATATCAGGAGTGAATATAAACTAATTTCTTTTAAATTTACTCCTGCTTATAATACATTATATTATTTATACATATACCTGGCAGTTTGCCATTGAAGTATGGAGGATAGAATTGAGGATTAGGCAAGGTTACAAGTATCCTCTCTACGGTCATCACAAGATTAAATTTATCAAAGCATACTATAAAATTTAATGTTTAATGACATAAATGAACATGGACTAAAAGTGATGATTATTAAAGAATAAATATCAATAAATTCATGAATTTCTTAAGATTATCGCTGGAAATGTCATGTTACATTATAATGTTAGATTCTATAGCATCTTGTGTAACGATTTCGTTAAGCTTGTGCTAAAATGATGAATTCCCACTATTATATAAATAAATTATGCTCGCTGTCACAGTAAAACTTTTTCGTTTTTGACTGGCTACATTTATAAAACTATGTATGATAGAATCATTAAAATTGCGTGCATGTGTGGTGATATATACGATCTAATTAAATAGGAAAAACACCTAGATGAAATTCGATGACGGACCGTTTTTAGAACCATCCGGTCTTAAATTTGTAACCGCTACGCTAACTACAAACACGTGCATGGGCAGGAAGTATTAACTGTAGCAGGGGTCATTTATATATCAGTAAATATGTAATAAGCTTTCCCTTTGATAGTTAGTGCAGCATGTACAGCTCCCTGGTGTGTAACTTCTTTGACAGGTGCCTCCCAAAATAGCCAAACAAGCTGATCTCCAATCGAACTACTTCCCTTATGAGATGATCAATACAGTTAAACCTGTATACACCGGTCACTCAAGGGAAACCCCATGAAGTATCTGTTATAGACAGCAGTGCATTCTACAAAAGTGGTTTCACTTTATAACTGCCATTCAAGGAAATCGCTACGTGTTCTTTATGGACAAGTGTCCATTCCAGAGGGGTGATCAATAACACAGGTTTGACTGCAAACTGACATGTGAAATAAATATACATGTTAAGAGTGTGACTTACTTGTATTCTATCTTGGAAAGCCTCACTAGGCATAATTGGTATGCCACCCCCAGCCTTGCCAAACTTGCGCTCTAATGAATGTTGCACACTCTCTGCAAAGCACAATTTACTCGCATTAGGACAATACATTCCAATTATATATTCATCAATAGCTTGTTTTGGTTCCCTTCAGACGGCTTCAGATAAGAGAATATTATGAAACCATCCATATTACTATAAACACAAGTAAACCATAGGTAGTATATATATATTATCTAGTAGTATAGTATAAATTTACACTAGAGATAGTATAGTTAGGTTCATGGTATTATTATTAATATGAAGTTCAGGTTTTGAGTATTGTGCACTGACAAACTTCGTGTCTATAAAACAAAGTAAGCATGCTATAATTGCGCCTAATTAACAGCCATATAAATTTGCATCTACTCTTCTCTAATAGAAGACCATTTACAATATTCTGCTGGCTTGGAAATCGGACTAATTACCCAGCAGGGAAACACTGCATGCCAAGTGTCATGTGATATAATTCCCCTATCGATCAGACTGCTTGATCTATTCACAACATACAACACACAACATCTATAGCTACTATGTACAGACCTAGCAGGTGATAGTTGGAGTCCTTCTCATATTTGAAGGTGAGACGTCCATAGCTGACATGGTTTAGATTCTTAAGCCACTCAAAGTAGGAGACGGTGACACCACCGGCGTTGAGATAAAGATCGGGAATAACCAGAACATTATTTTTGATGAAGTGTGCCTGGGCACCTGCGGTCACGGGTCCATTAGCTCCCTCTGCAATAATCTGTAAGTAGAAGACGTAGCTCATATAAATGATAATCATATTGTGTCACAAGATTTTCCTCAATGTCAATTAATGCTTTCAATACATTCATTAGGAGGTTCAATTAGTATGACCAGTCATTATCTTAGAGGAAGCACACATATCTTTTCTTCGTTAACTTTTCGTTTCATTAACCTTTACTAAATTAAAATTTAAAGTTTCATTTAAAATTTCAGTGACCACCTCAAATACCACGTTTTGCCACCTAAACTGGGAAAACTGTTCTACTGTTCTATGCTAATTATTATGGAAATTTGTGAACATGCATTGCAGTAAATGTTCATTTGTTTTCCTTCAACCTTTGAACGTGTTTTTAACGAAATAGACCAATTCCCTGCTTTCTAGTGTATATACCAAAAAAATGCCATATTGTAATTAGTGCAAAGCATGTCAGGTTCAATGAAACATAAACTGTTTTGCTCACTGAAAATCAATGTTTCCTGCTGAGCAGTGCTGCCGCCTAACGTAAATACTATCTAACTGCAGCAATTTGCAGCAGGAAAAGGTTTGAACCAGTGGAACATGGCTGTATAGCACATCGAGATCTGATACCACAGGTGATGGTATTAAAACACCAATGATGTGATTAAAAAAACACGCGTCTGTACCATGAGATTCCCGGCTGAATCCCATCCCATATTAATGTCCTGGGCGAATGTCCTTGGGATTTGTTTACTATTTAGCATGGTACAAAGATTGTTGTATAACCTAAGAAATGTTGTAAATCTATTTGGGTTGTGATTACCTGTATGCTAAAGCGTAGTCAAGCAGTCGAATTTGATTTGCAGTTAGAACAAGACCAACCTACCTTGGCCTTGACTTTGTGACAGTTTCCAATGTGAATCTGCTTCTCACTAGCAGCAGGTATGAGTATATCGCAGTCTTCATACAACAGCGACTCTTGTTTCGTGTATTGTTCTGCACCAGGGAAGCCCATAATGGTACCATGCTCCTACAATACAATTACAATGGCAGTCATGAACCGAGAAAAGATTTCACCCATTCTAAAAACAGAACCCTAACCCTAACCCTAACACTACAGACTAGAAATATTCCAGATCGAAATTCCATCACTGAAATGACTTGAAACATTTTAGAATATAAATTGTCCACTGCTGTGCAAGACCTTTACATTACTTAAATTAACTGTTAGTATTTTGAGTTGATTACATGACAAAATACGTTGATTAAACCAGGTGTTTAAATGAGAGATAAATATAAATAAGTGTAGCACTGTAACAGCAGTCATTAAAATATTCTTGATATTTTCTTGACTATGAATTGTAACGTTTACCATCAAACACAAATATACTACTGCATTAGCAACAGGCCATTGTTCTTTTCTCGAAAGAGAGAAGAAATCAGTGAGGAAGTCTGTGTGCCAAATGTTCACTGAACAGTTAATATATCTGCACATTAGCATATTTCAACGAACTTACAATGAATATATGAAAGTATAACCCATTTTTAAAACCAAAAATTTCTCAAGGGATCATTCAGGTCATGCTGCCTTTGACTAGCTTTATTTTTGCTACTGACCTCTGTTTTTAAACTAATGGTTAAGTTTCTGCCTGTGATACTACATACTGAACATGATGATTGTAAATAAAACATAGATATTTACACCTCTATTGTTGACAGCATCACGTAGTGTCATAATGTATGGAGATATACCTGTGCTACTGCATTATCTGCATATCTGACAAAGTTCAAATCAACTAAAAAGGTACGCAACAAATTTTCTCACCAGTTTATATTCCTCTAGTTCCTTGGGATGGATGCCCTCTGCATTGTAGATAGCACCATCCCACTCCTGAACACCGATGCACTTTGCTCCAGCTCGGTGCAAGTAGCGGCATGAGTGAAGTCCCACGTTACCGAAACCCTAGTCCAAAGACACACACATAAACACCAACACGGCAACGAATTCTACTAAGATAGATTAATTAATAATAGTAAGTATGTTGCTCAACAGTTTGAGTTTTAGCAAAATCAAACTGTAGAACAAGTACAAAAACAATTCCATGTTCTCTTTTCAGTAGTGATAATAAACTTTTGAGTGGTCAATTGAAACATTATGTGATCCATTGAGGACCACCCGTGAGGAGATGAATAAGGTACGCTGACATACCTCTAACAACAGCCATGAAGTTAATTGTTGACATTGCAATGAAGTTAAAATCGCATTTGGACTTTAGAAGCGACAGATGAGTCGCATAAATGCACGCTGAACATGAAATTACAGCTGGCAAGCATCTGAATGTGTGCTCATCTTAATATAGCCATGACCATATCAACAAGTAAACGCATAGATCCCTACATGTGTGTCAGCCACTGTCCGATATAGCTTGGCTACTGCAATGGTGTGGCATTAACTGGAATAGACCCACACCCACGGTGCAACTCAATAAGATTACTTAGCTAGGAGAATGATTCAAGACACACATTGCGCACTATCATTTGTCAGATGTAAAGGCAAGACTTTGTTGTTAAAAAACATTTTCATGATTTCATGAGGTAGAGAGAGTCAGAGCCAGAACCGGCAGGGTGTGGGCAAGGACACCCTGCACTGGTGATGGATGTAGCACCTGCTGCATGATCACTCATGTAGTTACTACCATCTGTACGACCTGCACGTATGTTCGCGCGTGTGAGTAGAAACAAACGTGGTTTGAAAACACCCATGTCGAACTTTCCCCCACCGACCAATGCTTCTGCTTTCCGTCATCAATCATCAATCACATTCATGAGCGCTATTAAGCTAGAACATTACCATCAGTGGCGAAAATCACCGTCTTTACGACATATTGGCCAGCTGTCCACTGTGCATATGCCCGTACACAGTAGTTTGCCTACCTGCACAATGAATGTTTTTCCTCCAAACCCAGGAAATAGCCCAATGCTGCTCATGTAGTTTGCTTCATGGACAAATTGTTCAATTCCATGAAACACGCCCTGTGTACGAAAACAATGCAATGACAACCAATTACAAGCAGAATAATGTGAAAATGATATGTAATTGCAAATATTTAATATTATCAAGCCTACCATGATAGAGATTTTTTCTATCATTGTACTCTTGATAATATGCATACTGACAGGAGAATGAATCAGGAATGCAATAAGCATTTTAGGAGATATTGTCAATGTTGTGAAGGGATAAACCCCAGTGAACTTGAGACTAGTATAAACAAAGGCTGAACAAAACATAGATGCAGGATTACCTTGGAGTAAGTGGGGAATCAGAATATGGTACGTAAGTTTAGGCCAAAAGCTAGGGTTATGCTATGTAAAGCTGCACAGTGTTCACATAATACGCTCACGCATGCACGTACGGACACGACACGCGCACGGCTACGCATGCACGCACTCACGCGCGCATACCAACAAATACATTATATGACAGAGCAATATGGCTGTGAACCCCCGCGAGGTCAGTCTGCTGTCCTAGGATACCAAGACTGTAATCGATCCACTCTTCTTAGCCAGTAAGGCTTCTAATAGAACATGTTAATGACTCTCTCATGAGCACCGCCGCTGATACATGTATAAGCACTGAGCTGCTCTTACCCTGCCTGTGGCCGACACTCTGCCATGGATGCCTCCCTGCGACACAGGCTTGCCTGTCACGCACGCATGCGCGTTTATGTCTAGGTAACCTGTAACATGGTTCATACAGGACTGAAAAATGTATCAAGGACTTTTCAAGGACTTTTCAAGGACATTTTATCAGAAATTCAAGGACATTTTATTATCGGACATTTTATCGGAATCCATACACGGAACAAAACATACCTGGATTAATTTAATAACCCCATTCTTAATCACTGTCACCTCTAAAACTTACCTGGATCATATTAATAAACCCTTCTAAACACTGTCACTTCTACAACATACCTTGATTTACTGACTGATTTTATTGACTTACTGTAATTTGTGATCATGATTTAACTGTCTATCGCGTCTATAGCTTTTTAAGCTCATTTAACGCAATTTTTATTGAGGTTTGCACATTATTGTTATTGGTTCAAAATTTCTTTTTAATACAGGCAAGGATTCTTTCTAAAAATTCAAGGACATTTTCATGAAATTCAAAGACTTTTCAAGCACAAAATCAACATTTACTAAATTCAAGTACTTTTCAAGGACTCCCCTCAAATTCAAGGACTTTTCAAGGACTCCCCTCAAATTCAAGGACTTTTCAAGGACTGTGCGAACCATGTGTAAGCATACAACGATATGGGCATTCTTACGCTACATTACGTACGTTACGTTACGTTACGTTACGTTATTTTAGTTACGTGGACTGAAATTAATTTACTGAAACAGACGACAGCTATGTATTGCCACCCGTGCACGTGCGCACGCACGGACGCACGCATGCACACATACGCGTATAAATATATTTCAACATTGATGCAAACAATGCTGAAAGTATGGCACCGTTTCCACGTTATAGCCATTCTTGCTAATTGGTCTACTATGTAGCTTATGTGCTACAACGTACTAAATCCTGCATAAAGTAAAGCATTATTCAATTATCAAGCTTTGGTTGATGTAGAAAAGAATTTAGCAGACATCACACATCTGACAACTCTGCCACGTATCACTTTCTGTCTGTCAGTGGTTGTCAGCACCCAGCACATGTCAATTGATTTCAAAACAATAATAAAACAAAGAGCAATTCTTCAAGAAATGAACCGATGCAACGTACCTACTGTTTTCGCATATGTGCTAGCAATCCATGACATCTCACGCTCTCCTGTACCCATGTCAGGGGCAGGCACATCTATTCCAGGTCCTAAAAGCGCAAGAACCACCGTGGATAAGTTATCTTACAATAGGGGCATTCCTACGAGCACATCTTACTCAAAGACATACATCATGACATACGAATGACGCTCTATTACTTAGTTAACAATTGACTAGCATAACTTGAGAATTGGGACTACACATTGGAACCAAACAACACTTCTTAAAAGCTCACTCGATAAATGAAATTTTGTGACCAGTTATATGGTCGTTCCCTGTATAATAAATATAATACAACACATTAGATTTACCTGAAACAACAATGATAAAAAGAAAAACTGACTGAATTTCAGACAATTTCCTTCTTGACGGCTTTCACAGCTGGCTGACAATTCTATAGCAGAAGCTCACCTGATACTTGCAATGGGGGGGGGGGGCACAAGATAAGGTCAGCCCTTCTAACGACACAACATTTTAGACTTACGACGTCATATCTGCCCGATGAACGAAGTTTCTGACAATGTGTACCCCCCCCCCAACCCACCTCCTAGTTACTATACTTGGCTCAGATTTTGCATCAGTTTGCACAGCTGTTTTCTTGTGGGGTAGGGTAGGGCCTACCCACTTCCTCATTCATACACACACGCATATGCACACCCGCACGCACACGCACGCACGCGCACGCACGCACGCACGCACACACACACACACACGACGAACGCGCACGCAGTCGCGAACACGCACGCACACACGTTGCAATCAATATTGGCAGGCTAATTGTATACGCTGAGAACACTCGGCTATTTATACTCCAACTGCCAGTATTGCCAGTAATACAGGCAGATCTGGAACGCTCACATATTTGCGACTAGCATCAGCCTCATCCTGTTAATAAACATGCCCTGCATCTTCCGTCACGAATGATATACAGCACGCAGCAATAAACCCTCACTATACTTGCCATGGAAACCAGCACACGCATTTCGAAATATTTTTCAAAATAAACTTTTGAATAATTAGCCTAATAACTTTAAGTAACACGTGCGCGATTTCCTGAGCATGGTACATCCGAGTGCGTCGAAAGTAATCGGTGTCAAAGAAGAAAACGAAAACGGCTCGACGTAACGAATTAAGACAAACACTTAGATGATAAGTGTCCAGAACTCGTAACTTGTCTGTAAAACGGGGCATGATAGCATACACGTGTTTCCGCGTGTGGTGATGCATTCCACCGCGCACGGTAGAGGTCTATGACTCTATATACTGTAGCTACATCGTAAAGGAGCGGGTAAGAAGCTTCCATTCATATAATCATCGCGCTATTAACCACGCACTCCCGACAGCTCTCCGACGCTCGCACAGCTACCCGCGATCCATACACACGCAGCGATTGCTCCCCAAGGCGACGCGCGTACGTGTGTGTGTGTGTGTGTGTGTGTGTGTGTGTGTGTGTGTGTGTGTGTGTGTGTGTGTGTGTGTGTGTGTCTGTGTTTGTCACTATGCAGTGATGCATTAACTCCACCGTGTGACTCTGCCACTGCGGGCTTATTAGGGGGCAGACCATAGATATACTATAGCGAGACAGCCCCCCCCCCCCGTCTTTTGTACTTTATTGACTTCTGACGTAATCTGTCCCCTACGTATTCTAGCTGATTGCTTTCGCACGACCAACACCGCGTTAGGTATACTGTATAGGCCATATTTTTCGCGTACAGATATTTTCGCGAATTCAGACTTGACGGACAATTTCGCGAGTGGTTAATTTCGCGGTCGGTGAATTCCCGAATCAGTGAAGAACAGCGTATTCTTATTTTCGCGTGTTGTTATTTTCGCGGTCAGGGGACGCGTTCGCGAAACTCGCGAAAATTAAACCACCGCGAAATATACAGCGTATACAGTAGGCCTCTCCTCGCCACGCCGCACCTATGAAGCCTTTCTTCGCTAGCTCCATCGTGAAGCGGCGCGTGATCTTCTCCAGTTCGTCCTCGCTGTAGTTGCGCGGGTTGATGCGCACTCCGGCCTTGGCTCCTCCGAACGGCACGTCGACGCACGAGCACTTGTACGTCATCAGGGCAGCGAGGGCCTGAACCTCGTCCTTGTTGACGTGCTCGCTGAAGCGGATGCCTGCAAGGACGACGACAACGTAACGCCATGCACTCCCGCTATCGTCTCGATTACACACAGTGCGTACGACGACGGCGGCGTGTAACTCCGTATAAATATGTCCGCTCTGTATGAATGGCGTATAACTGTGTGTGTGTGTGTAACTCATTCCGTGTGTAACTCTATGTAAGTGTCGCATAACTCTCTATTCCAGGATATGTGTGCGGTACAGTTGTTTAACGGGGCTCATTATGCACAGTAATTAGCCTGGGGCCCGTTGCATAAATTACTGTGACGTACAATAAATGTGTATGAATGTGAGTTTTGTGATCGATTCTCATCCAATCAGCAGCCTTGCGACATTAAATTATGAAGTTCCTGTTATCGTGAATTTTCTCATAGCTGCGATACGTTTCTGTCAACGCTACTCTCGTAACATTAACATTAGTCGTAAGTGTTATCTTAGCATTAACAATACATTAGCATTAACTTTACGATGTTTCTGACAACGGCCGCCTGAACTTCAGCGAATACATTTCAGCGCTTCTGGCAACGTCGTCTCGTCCTTTCAAATCATCGCATCATTTGGTTGCAGTCTAACCCTGGGATGAGCAACTCGTGGGTCAGCTGATCATCATGGGTCGCCTCCAATTACACAGAGACTTTACACCGTAATATGACACAAACACTATCGGGAAATTCAGACAAGCATTTCTAGTCAGATAACAAGTGATGTATATGTTTATATCACGTAGCACAGTTGAATATGATCAGGAGTTAATAAAGACAAATTTGTCTTTATTAACTCCTGATATGATCCAGCATGCCCACAAAGCTATACTAAACAGTATCGTTACCAGTGTGCGTGCATAATTTATAGTGACATGTGTCCGCATTACCTATAAATCCATCATCATATGGATGATGATTATTGATCATACCACCGTAAGTAGCTATATTTTTAGGTATACAAACGGTATCTCCTAGAACCAAGTACCGTGCAGTAATAATAAGCAGTGCCGTGCCTATGTAGGCCTACACTGTACAGTAGTCTATCGAGAAACACATCGATGATAACTAGAGTGGTTCCCGGTCTTACAAGGCCTGCGACCCAGTTTCTGATATGATGGTCAGACTAGCTGTACCTACGATTCACAGCTACGTACAACTAGCGGTAGGAGAGCGGCAACAATAGAGGAACATGGTACGTTCAGAAACTGAGTAGTATGTTCGGACACTAACCAGTATGTTCTTATACTATACCAGTATGTTCTTATACTATACCAGTATGTTCCTACACTAACCAATATGTTTTTACACTAACCAGTATGTTCCCACACAAACCAGTATGTTCTTACACTAACCAGTATGTTCCCACACTAACCAGTATCTTCTTACACTAACCAGTATGTTCGAACACTAACCAGTATGTTCTTACACTAACCAGTACGTTCTTACACTAACCAGTATGTTCCCACACTAACCAGTATGTTCGAACACTAACCAGTACGTTCTTACACTAACCAGTATGTTCCCACACAAACCCAGCGTGTTCGAACACTAACCAGTACGTTCTTACACTCACCAGTATGTTACCACACAAACCAGTATGTTCGAACACTAACCAGTACGTTCTTACACTCACCAGTATGTTACCACACAAACCAGTATGTTCGAACACTAACAGTATCTCCTACACTAACGCAGTAGTGTTCCTAAACACTAAACCAGTATGTTCGACACTAAGCCAGATATGTTTCGACACTACGAAGTATGTTCTACCTACACCAGTACGTTCTTACACTAACAGTATGTCCTACCAGCTAACCAGTATCTTCCTAACATAACCAGTATCTTCCTAGCACTAACCAAGTAATCTTCCTACACTAACCAGTAGCTTCTTACACTAACCAGTATGTTCGGACACTAACCAGTACGTTCTTACACTAACCAGTATGTTCTTACACTAACCAGTATGTTCCCACACAAACCAGTATGTTCCTACACTAACCAGTATCTTCTTACACTAACCAGAATGTTCGGACACTAACCATGCAGTATGTTCCTGCACTACCCAGTATGTTCCGACCCCTGCCAGTAAGTGGCGACAGTGTGTTTATGAAATGAAGGCTCATTGGACTATGACTAATTTCGAGGTGCTTGCATACAATTGATTTACGATGTGTGGCCATAATATATATACTATATTATCATAATCTCGCCTTGTTTCGTGTATCAACTCCTTCCTTCCTTTAGCTACGTGTCATACTATTAAAGTTGTTGACACATGCGCAGTGTGTGCATTATAAATAGAGTAAGTTTACCATGGGGTACCATGGGGTACTCATTAACCAAAGGGACGCTGACTTATATCAACTGTTGGCTGTTGCTGTGAGAGACTCTATCCACCGAGCTTAAAAACGTGTTTTAAATTTCACACGTATATATATATATGAAACTCAACATTAGCTCTATTCAGTTATGTGCTTGAGAAATTGAGCTCACATTAATGTGAATTTGTATTAAATACGCAATTACAGGCACGCATACGTATGAGCCCATTGACACACTGTGTGTGCATAGAAAGTTTCCTGTCCATCAACTTCAATATAATTACCAAAATCTACTATAACAAGAACTATACAGGCATGCTACACCCGCCCTAGCCACAAGTTACGTTTTCTCATCTCACTACGTGGCTCCTACGACGTGAAACAGTCGTAAAGCGTAGTTTGGTTACACCCGCCCCAGCGGATTGGGCCTCCCCCACCCTCTCCAACTAGTACCACGCCAACCTCCCAAACTATCACTGTTCCACTCTTTTCCCCATCCGTTATTATCCTACCCGCCCCAACTGTCCCTATCCTATCTCCTTACCAACTGTCCCTATCAGGACTATCTTTGCCAACTGTTACTATCCTACCCATCCCAATTGTTACTAGATCCTATCCTTCCAAACTTTTACTGTCTTATCCTTCCTAACTGTTCCTATCCTATTCTTCGCAACTGTTACTATGGTACTCTTATTAGCTGTTCATATCCTACACTCCAGTGGCGTAGTTAGGGGGGGGCAAAGGGGGCCATGGCCCCCCTGTTGATCCGAAAGTTAAAAAAAATGTAAAAAATAAAAATTGTTCTACTAAAATGAGAATTGTCGTAGTCAGAATGAAGGCTGTACATGTACTCAAAAGTGCCTCAAATACCATCTCCTGCTATCTACATTTTCATCATTTTCTGGGGGAGGACCCCCATACCCCCCACCTGTTTTCACCCCCCCCCTCTTTGGAATCCTGGATCCGCCACTGAACAGTTATTATTCAGGCACACAACACTACACATTACGCTGCAGACGCTCACAACGCTCAGAGGCGTTCAGCAATCACTCACATCATTGGCCGATTTGTTTACAAGTTACCGCCCACCTAACTTCACCAGTAGAGGGCGGTACCCACCAAGTGAATGTCTCTTTCGCGCGCGCACCACTCACAGCCCAAACTCCACAACAGGTGGCGCTCTCGCTCTGGCTCAATTCTACTGTCCTGAGTGTGGGAAGGGGCACTGCATGCAGTTTGCTCACAGCCACGGCACATACAGGCACTTGAAGCGTTTCAATAAAATATAATGCTAAATAAATACGAAATATATTTAGTACCAAATTCTTAATGTTTCTATACTCTCTTTCACCTAGTATAAATCTATTATTGCTGACAGTTTCCTTCAAACGTACATACTTACTAACTTAGCTTGCTTTGTTGTAATTTACATTCAAGATTGTTTATTTATATTGTCATTACTGTACGCATTCTGCTCAAAGTTTGCTTGACATAGGAATTATCTCTGCTTATATCTTGTATAACGTTTAAGCAATTGTGAATCATTTAATTTTTGTATCTTCATATTTGTATTATTCTTCACTTTGTTCAGTTTCACTCTTAAAGTTCACTCATAGTTAAAATCTTATAGTAAATTATTACTAGTACAATGTTAATATATTTCTCTTCCTGCTCAACGACAGTTGCCCGCTTACTTTTTAAATTATAATTTTCTAGGGGATGGCTGACTAGATGACCGTATGGTCTTTTCGCCATCCCTTCGCGGTATTATTTTCTTATTTGCCTTGTAAATTCTTGTTCTATGTTGTAAGCGAAAAATAAAACTGTTATATCTTATATCTTATATCTGTAAATTCCGTTCAAATCCTATCTGTACAACATACGCTGCCGGCGGCCATTGCTCTCGCGGCTGCACTGTGCACACTTACACTTATACAGCGGCGGATTTAGGGGGGGGGGCGACCCGGCTCCGGCCCCCCTTTGAGTTTAGGCAAAAGAGAGAGAGAGAGAGAGCATACTTAAAACGGTACGCGTCACACAGATACATAGTTACACCATTTGCGGTATTTTGTTTCGTGTTTTTGCCCTGGACTGATTTCACTGGAAGCAGCCTGACCTACGAGCAGACGCCGACACGTGTGGGACCAGTTCGGTGTAACGATTCATCCCTTTTAGTAAGTCTCTCGAGGTTCTCTGCAGCAGTGACATGATTTAAATTAAAGGGTTTCTGCAATATTGATCTGTGCCTTTTTGTGGCTGATACTATATCAGTGCACGTGACGCTGATTGAGACATGTTACACATTACCAGCACATATTTTCGCTCGTGCCTAATTTCGCGGCAATCGTTTGAGTCTATTTTCGTAAGGCCTACTCTCTTGTTCTCTCAATATAAGTCATGTTTTTCCTTGAATATTTTCGAAAATCTTTCAGATTCTGACTTTCAGTACTCTGACTTTAGTTCACTATATAGTTTTACCTGTATACGGTAACACATAATTCAAGTCACTACAAGATAACACACATTTAGTGAGCGCGCGCGATAATAATTAACACAACAGATCAACTACAGAATTACCAGTAAAAGATAAGCTTTATTTTTCTCACAAAAAAATATTAAGAAAGAGACTTAGCAAGTCCAATGTGACAGATGCTACCAATAAAAATGCGTAATTTTGAAATATTCATGGAGATACATTTGGTAGTTAAAAGGCGAGAGAACGCATCTTTCACCCCCCCCCTCTTTGGAATCCTGGATCCGCCACTGAACAGTTACATATCTTGGGAGCAGTGAACAACGAACCATAATGTCACCTTTTCACATGGCGCCCAAAACAAAGATTGCAGAGCTGAGAAGTGGGGGAGCGTAGGGTGTAGAGAGAGAGCTATAGGCGGCGGAGCCATTAAAATATTAAGTCATCCGCTATTTTGCGCAGTTCGCTGTTTTTGGCCCCCCCCTGTTAAAAAATCCTGGCTACGCCACTGCTACACTCCATACAGGTCTAATATTTCACTCTTTCCATACTACTGTTTCATCTTCACCAACTACAGTATTCAAAATACTCCCTCCCAAACTATTCCCATTGCTAGATAAATATTATCAAGAGTTCATAATAGAAGTCCATAATAATAAAATAATTTTCTATTATGAACTCTTGATATTATCAGGAGTGAATAATAGAGATTCATTCTATTATTCACTCTTGATATTATCACGAGACATAGCCGTGGAATCGGTACAACTGCTAAGTAAGTTCATTGCCCCCGCATGCTAATGTAAACACGCTGATTAGTGATGTGATTACAGCCAACTGTTCCTACATTCGATCAAGTATTCTGCCTGAAGCAATAACACTGAAGCATGCGAACATTTTAAACATTGTGTATTTGTCCGGTAAATCCTGAGCCAAGGGTCGAAACTAACAGATATACACTTTTCTGATGGTCCGAGTTGCCAAAAACCTGTTTATGCAGCATTTTGCTGTTAGTAGTGTTACGCTACCAACCCTCCCGTACAGTAAGAAAGAGAATGAGCGTGCGATTATAAGTACATGTTATCTGATGTTATGCACCTTGCAAACAATTTTACCCAGAAAACCTAAAATCTCTGCCATAAAGAATATAGATTATGGCTGTCACATATCCGGAGTAAAAGCATTTTTTCTTGATATCAATCCTCACTATTTTTTATGTAACAGCTAGATAGTCGTTTTTGAAAATCATATATATATATCTGTCTGTTGTGTTAGCAAATACTCCAAGTACGTAACGTATACGTATACATACTTTTTAAATTTTTAATGAACTGGTAATATCTCTAGCATGCCTTTCCCCACCGACGTAGCGGTCTATTTCAACCGAACCTGCAGAAACGTATAACAACAATTTTGAATGAACTGTTAGCGATGCTAGTCGAGAACCAGAAGAGGGTGGTGGAGTGGAATTCGGGGGATAATAACTCTTATTTGATGAGAGCAGGTTCAAACGAGAGAGTGGTCAAGATGCCATTAGTATTCGGTTCTTGGTCAGTGCAAGGTGGGCAGAGAGACTCTTACCTAAAAACATATAGCTGTATAAATGCTCTCATTCATTTAGTTAAAACTATCTACACTTGCTGCGTGTATGCGAGAATGGGTAGAATAAATGTTGTTTCTAATGCTGCTTCCTCATCATCAACCAAACCATCTCACCCAACGAGATGTATTAAACCAGAATAGAGGTGCAAACCTGTCATTACACTGATACCATTGACGTGGAAGTCGACTCTCTGATAATTCTCTTTCATGCACTACTGTACATCTCTGTTATCCACTGAGCTCTATTAATACTCATTAATAGAGCTCAGTGGTCTATACCATCAAATCCATAAAGGACACTTTTGATGTTGTAGTTATACGCCACTTTAGTGGAAGTCATCTAGAGTTAAACTACCTACATAGAGTGAACAGCTCCCCATAAATGGTACATTCCACACCTCCCTTGAGTGGCACTCATACATGATACCACATCCATAGAATCAAGAGCATATTAAGAAGGCTTGATACGCTCTTGATAGAATGGACATCTGTCTATAAAAGGTACTGGCTCTTGAGTAACAGTTTTAAAATAAAAGTTCTATAGAAAAAAAACTGTCTATGAAGAACATGTTCGCCATTTCCCTTAAAGCGAGGATTTCTCATGTTTTTACCAACCGTTTTCATATTTTCTCAACCGCTCTGATACTTAACTTGCATAACACCAAATGTATATATAGTAAGGCTAACATGTAATAGACCACTCGCACAACAATCTTTCCACCCATATGTGCACCGATCTGCATTTCAAATTAGACTGTTTACATAATATCAGGAGTGAATAATAATAGATTATCATACTATATCATATATCTATTATTATTCACTCTTGATAATATGTTATCAACAAACCTAGACCATGATTTTTGCTTCGCGAAATTGGAACGCTGTCTCTACACAAGGTTAATGACCTTTGTATACATTTCGATATAGCTACCAGTCTATAAATATTTGCGGCGCATAACTACCTGCGCTCGTTTTGAGGGAATGTTTGAACATTCCATTATCGCGAATGTGAAGATAGCGGGCACACGTTTGCTGTTCATTTACTGTGAACATTTGTTGCCTATAACAGCAGGAATGCGTAATAATTTTTATGCTAAAGTGATCAGCAATATGTATGCTGACAGGCGAGTCTAAATTTCTCTTCATTTATTAATTCCTCAATTTACTTGTGACATGATCGATCATTTTAAGTGATCGTGATCACTACATACAGGTTTGACTGTACATACGTGTATTATGTACACATATAATCGTTGTATAAATTAAAACTTCCTACCTCCCTTGCATGGCGTTCTATGCTGACTGTGCTGTGCCCTCCATCCATCTATCATCTCTATGACACCGTTGTCTCGTCGGATCGGGAATGAGATAGATATGGTGTGCTGACATGGCTTGATTGTTCGCAGAATACCCTGCACACGAAGCCTCTTCTCATCCTCAGATAGCTTTACTCCCTTATAGTCTGCGACTAAGTGATCCTCTAGGTAAAGGAAGTAACACCAGGATTCACAATTAAACTCAAGTTTAGACATTTTTTCATTTTCAAATGTTTCTTTTGGTCTATTCAAAAATTTTAGGGCACCACGGCGCATTAGAGGGGTAACAAGGCAAATTCTCGCATCAAAGAAAAGAGAACAAGATAACATTTTCTTAAAACACGTTCTATGTAACCTGGGGAGCGTTTCATGGGTATGGCAGCTATGTACGTTTCTTACTATAGACATCGTCCAGGTTTTTGAGGCACCACTACAAGTAAGAACGGTGACCAAGGCACTTGATGTAGGGAAATTTGATGCTCATTGCATTGCTCTAATAGATAGGGATTCTATGGCCTAGATAAATCTATGATTGCCTCCTATTATAAACCTAATAATATCAGGAGTCTATCAATAGACTCCTGATAGACTCCTTATTGATAGACTCCTGATAATATATATAGGCTGTACATCAGGACTTGTCAACGACTGTAAAATGCGTGTGAAAGAAACACCTTACTGCCTTAACAAAAGTATGCACATTAGTAAAAGTGTACAGACACATTCACTAATCAACACAATCACTGTTCAAGATGTTGGCTGGCCAATATGAAACAGTGAGAAACCTGAAATAAAACAAGAGCTGCAGAGCATCTGGGCTCATCTGAGGTCTGTTGCTACGGTTATAAACATAACATTTCAGTCGTGCGTAGTGACACCTTTGTTAGGTGCAGATATGCAGATACGCAGTTGCGTACACATCATTTCAACCACCTCTTGCATACCTCCCAAATCCCATTGGTTGATACAAATCGCGTGCCTGAAACTCCTGTTTTATGGTGCATTGTGACCCTAACCCTAACCCTATTAAAAAATAATAAAAAATTAATTGTTGTAAAAATTATTTGTTGTTATTAAATTGTTGTAAATAAATCATGTAAATATTTGCGTTAATTGGAAAAAAATAGATAAATGGATAAAGATAGAAAAATACAGAAAACAGGTAAATAATAAAAAATCAGATGGGATTCGATCCAACGACCTTTCAGCCGTGACGCTTGTGCTGTACGCATTCGGCTTTCCAGGCTTATTGGGTTTCTAGATTATGGATGTGCCATGAATATGACAACACTGTGACATCATTGAGGCAGTTCAGGAATCCATGTTTAACCCGCCTCTTGAGGGTCAAAAGGTTATCAGACACTTACTCTTCGCACGTCAGTGGAAAGCACATTTCATGGGCCTTTCAATAAAGTTATAAAAATGGTAGGTCATGCAGCGCTGAAACAAAAAAGGTTTTCACTCTGTCCATTAGGCCA